TTCTGTTTGGTTTAAGCTACCTATCTGAGCATTAAAGTCACCCCCTATGAGTACTATGTCTGAGCGTTTAGCTTTCTGAAGAAGTTCAGAAAGCTTTCTGTAAAATTCATCTTTCACATCATCTGAACTGCAGTCAGTGGGAGCGTAGGCAGAAACAACGAAAAGGCAACGATGTGTATCCCTATCCTTCCGAGTTCTTACGGAGCCGTTTAACCGAACAGCACATAGACGACTGTTGACGGGGATCCACTCTAGCAGTGCTTGTTCCGCCCTCATGCTTAGTGCTATGCCTACACCTGCCAGTCCACAAGAACTGGCCATCGGGTCACCAGATACACGGAGGGTGTATCTCGTTGGCTGTACGTTTTGCCGAGGTGAGGTCGAGTGAATGACCACACTGGGATCCTGTATGCGTGTTTCAGAGACACAGCATACATCAATGGCACGAGATTCTAGGGTTTTAGCCAAGGAAGCCTGCTGACCGATTTGACATAGAGTGCGTACGTTTAAAGCTCCAATGTGTAGTTTGGAGCGAGGTTTCAGTAGACCTGGGACAGCGTTTTGAGCACTAGAATCGTTGGCTATGGTGACACTTGAGGAGGAAGCCGAAAGAGGAAGTTTAGAGTGGAAAGTCGATGTAGGAGGAATAATAGGAATTGAAGAGGAAGGTTGATTATGAATACAGTGGTCTCGAGTGCTGTTAGAGGTATGAGGGCGGTTATCACTTCCCGGTTGCCCACACCGTGGAAGGGTTCTTCTGGAGGTACCTGAAAAGGAAATTGGATTAGAGGTGGTCTCAGTGACCTGAGAGCGTGACCGCAGTGCCCAAGGGACAACTGCTTGAGGCCGGTCGCGCACGGCCTTTTCGTGGGAGGTTTTTGACGTGTTAGCTCCGTTCTTCAAAGGGCCTTACCGCCGGAGACGGATATCCGTGGGATAATGCGAGGTGTGCATCTTTAAGATCGACCTTCTCTAACTCCACCCCTCCTTGTGGGAAGGCAGCATCACTGTTATGCTAGTTGTCTGAAGGAAACACCTTACTGCTGTCACACCTCTGTACAGTCAGCAGTACGACTTCGCCTTCGGACCTTGGGCTTGTTGCTTTTAGTCTTACCGCTCTTCAACCGACCTGTCTGACATGGTAGGACCTTGAGGAACGGTTGTTCCAGCCAGTATAGCTCGGTTGCTTCATCACGATAGGCAAGCCCGACCACCACGTCAAGGTAGCAACAACGGTCGGGGTACTCAATTCAATCATAACGGGTCCTTTTAATGTGGCTTTTCTGTGTCCAGTGAGGCTCAAGCTAATGCATGCTCTTATTAGAGCACGGTCAGTTTCTCAACATGTATTCCAGAAAGAGCGGTTTGACATAAAGTACGTACGTTGAAGACTTTAATGTGTAGTTTTGAGCGAGGTTTCAGTAGACTTAGGACGGTACTTCGCGCAATAGAATCGTTGGCCATGGTGACATCTGAGGAGGAAGTTTATAGTTGATAGTCGAGATAGGAGGAATAGTAGGAATTGAGGAGGGAAATTGTTTATGAATACGGTGATCTTGAGTCCTGTTAGAGATATAAGGGTGGTTATCACTTCCCGGTTGCTCACACCGTGGAAGGGCTCTTCTCGAGGTATCTGAAAAGGAACTTGGGTTAGAGTTGTTCTTAGTGACTAGAAGACGTGACCACGGTGCCCAAGGGACAACAGTTTAAGGCCGGTCACACACGACCATTTTGAGTAATTTTTGTTCTAGCTCCGTACTCGTTGAGACGGAGACGGATATTCGTGAGATAAGACGAGGTATACATCTTTATGATTGACCTTTTCTAACCCAACTCTTCCTTTGTGGGAAAGTAGCACCGCCATCACGCTGGTTGTCTGAGGGAAACAACTTACTGCCGTTACACCTCTACGGTCAGCAGTACGACTTCGCCCTCGGACCTTAGATTTGCTACTTTTAGTGTTGCTGTCCCTCAGCCGATCTGCTTGGCATGTTAGGATCTTAAGGAACGATTGTTCCAGCCAGTATAAACTGGTTGGTCCATCGCGACAAAGTCTACCAAGAGACAGTAAAGATTTTTAAAAATGATATATCATACTGCTGGGACTTTTAATTTGGAGTTTAGATTCTCGCATCATAACTGATATCAGTTCATGATGAATACTCTTACTCCCATTAGTAATTCTCAACCCTGTTTCGATAGACTCCTCGTTACGCTGAGTTTGTTTACACTTATACTATTGGCTCAGTGGTATAGCTCTTCTGTATTTTAATTTTTTGGATATCTTCGTTCATAATGATGGCTAACTTGCCACATCACTAATATTTCAGTGTTATCTGTATAACTTATAGGTTAATATAGCGCCTAGCTATAATTAGACAATTTCAGGAAGTATTTCACTCAATCTTTCCTCTAAATGACCCAATGGAGATACATAGTCAGTTTGTCCTGAGAAGCAGGTACACTATAATATACAAACTCATGTGTGACTCTATTGGTATTTTTTTATTCTCTACTAACCGTCGCACAACGTAACACAATTCACTGATTTACTTCCGATTACTATTTCATTTATTCACTTTATTTTGAGATGCCGTCGTCTGAAAATAACTATCCAGGAGCTGCTAGTCTAATTCAGGATATTGGAAGTTCGTTGTGATTGGTGGCCCAACGATCTTTTGTAGAAAAAATGGCGATTATTGTACGAGGAGGTCGTGTGTTTATTGGATTTCTTCGAATAATTGACCAGTTCGGTAAGATATCATATCCAATTTATATATCGGTAGGCAATGTCGTCCTTCATAATGCTGTGGAACGTATACATGTGGCGAAAAAATTCTGTGACGTTCCCCAGGGAATACTTTTAATTAGAGGTGAAAATATTACAATTATCGGGGAACTGGTAAGATAGTAAACTTCTTAATTATATATATATATTAGTTCGACATAATAAGGTTCAACTTAGATAAGTAAACTTTGAAATAATAATCAGAAAACATTGTCGAAATTACGTAATAAGAAGTGTACAAATAATTAGATAGTTAAGAATATAAACAGATGTTCGTCGTCCTGTAATCGCATTTCTAGTTCAGATGGACTTTCCGATAAATCCAGTGATAACCACTAGCCAGAGCTGATCAAAAACACTATTTCCCAACTTACTCCGCATAAACGAAAATCTTAATTTGGTAATAGTAACTTTTTGTTGGAATAAACCTAAATTAATAGGTATGAAAAGTAATGCTCATCCGAATCTCATTCAACAGTTTCTACTGGTCTGTTTGTTAATAATAATAATCTATGCGGTACCAAAAGATGTTTGTTGAAACTTATCACAATCACTCAAAACAAAGAACCACAGTAACATCTGCCATTGATTTGTGCAAGTAGAACTTTCCATAGGTCGATCTCCCACGCATTTGTGTAACTTTTGATGAAGCCATGTAATAGTTTGGTTAACTTAAAATGTCGCAGGAATGTCCAGTCACCTGAACATAAACATAGGTAAGAACAGTTACATGCTGTTATTAGTGACGCATACTCCAAGACTGGTCCATGTTAGTGCCTTGGTTAAATAAATTGTTTTGTCGTCTAGATCAGTGGTTAATAGTTTCAACTCGGATGTTAAAAGCCTGCTTGGATCCCGATCTGCTTAACATTCTGAATGAAATATTTCATTTTATCTTACCCACTTTGTTTATATGTGACAGTAGCACAAAGCCAATTACTATTAAACTATCAGCAAGGTGAGCGTCACTGACAAAGTGAACTCTTATGTAGTATGTTCCAAGCTGCAATTTAAGTGAGGGCTACGAGTACAACCCAGTTGCCCAAGTTAAGAACTCAAACGATTTGCCCAACAGACAGGAATTCATTTGCACATTTGTTAAGGAAGTGCATTTTTCTCCCTCCTTTACAGAATCCGGAAATAAACATCGACGAGAAGCTAGAAAGAGTTTCAGAAGAAGAGATTTATAAGCTCCAGCAAGAACAGACAGCCTCGCGCAAAGAACTAGCCAAGAAGCGAGCTGAACTATTCGCGATACGTGGATTAGGTTTTCCAGACTTCTTAGATATAATTGACGACACATAATCGTTGCACATTTTCTACCATGCTCATTAAGTTGTCGCAAGTTGCATAGTTTGTGTCAATAATTGATAATAAAACATTGCTTAAATCAATTATACATATGCTTATGAATAATATCCATATTTATGCAGAAATTTGTTATACGAAAAAATATCTTTCAAATAATAAATTAGTACAGTAGTTTTTGTGACAAAATGACTCCAAGTAGTGATATTACATCCGTTTAGGATACTTGCAATAAATTAAATGTCTTTGGAATTGGCAAAAATACTGCTTACAAAATAAATGATTATATCGAATTCCCACTTTGGCTAAATAAACTTGTTCCGTACGGTTCATGTTTACAAAGGTGAATGTTTGTCGAAACAACGGTACTTATTACTTTACTATGGTTAAAATCTAATTACATCATTTTTTGTTAGTAGCCCAACGATGCCCTCTTTGTAGTGCGCCAATAAGCACAACAAACTAGATGTATTCTTACTGCTTTCAAGATGGTCACTTGGTATACATATATAGGGTTCGACTAAGGATTTTCGCGCGTCATTGCTCTGCATCAGTTGTGCATAGTGCACTCATCATTGAACGTCAAGTTTCAGTAAAGTATCTTCACCGTGAGTGGATTCTGTTTGAATCTGGCCACGACCCATACATTCTTTTAACGGCATACATTGCTTTAAAGACGAATAAATGTAGACACTAAGAGACTGTTGTGTTTTTAATCATCGCTAAGTAGGAAATTTATTAGCACGTTGGTTTGGTAAGTTGCATATTTTAAGATCTTAATATATAACACAGATACATGTATAAAAAGTACATTAAATTCAGTCACAATTTCCTGCAAAGCTTAAAAACAATAGATCTGAAGCCGCAGGAAAAAATTGGGAAATCAATTACAGCAAAGATGTAATCAGATCCCAACCCCTGTAAGATTTGCATCCAGTTGTTGAAGATTCGGTAGAGCTAATAGTATTTTTCGTCGGTAATTAGAATCATGTTTTGTACGGTCTGTGCTTAGAAAATAGATTGGATTACGCTCCATATACAAAGTTCGCAGCTTTTTTAATACACTTAACTTTTCTAGCTGCTCCCAATCGGATATCTTATTGTCATTGCACCAAAATTCTTCTAGATTTTCCAAATTCGACATGTTTTGAATCTGTGATATGAAGTTGTACGCCAGGTCTAAAATTTGTAACTTTGATAATGTTTCAAGGCCTTCAATTTCTGTTATCCCGTTCTCGCTCAGATATAGTTGCTCCAGATTAACAAGACTGGTTAATCCATCTATTTTGGTGAGTCTGTTACCCTATATAATTAATTAAATGGAAGATGAAGACAAAAAACGTTAGTCGAGTTTGACAATCATAACAATTAAAGGGATACTTAGTGAATCTTGTAATACTGCTTCCTTGTGACATTATTTTGTAGTAACTGAAGCTTTGCCTTCAGTCAACTAGAACAAGTTTGAGAATTACAAGTTTAGTATACATAACCTAAATTGTCTTATACTCATGGATGCTCGACTATTGTTTGCTTGTGTTGTGATAAAGGTTTCCTTAAAAGTGGACTTAACCATACAGCTACCATTAATCATGTTTTGGAAAAATCAGACAAATTGTTTAATTTCGAGTGAAAGCTATTACTCTTACATTTGCAATGATCAAGTCGGACGGTACTATTTAGGGTGGCTGTCTCTTAATTTGTACTATCTCACGAAGGCTGGACAGAACTTCCATTAGTGGCGACTACAACCGACATGAGTTTAACAACAACGGGCTAGATTTCTAGGGGTTCTGTTTATCTATGGAAAATACCTTACTATATCAGCAATAATACCTCACTTTCGGACCCTAGATTTGCTGCATTTTTACTAACCTGTTTAAAAGTCTTCAGTTTCATTTGTATTTGTGACTTTATCTATTTCGCGCCTACCAGCAAAATTGTTTGTTTCTAAAGTTTGTATAAGCTATACCTCAAGTCCAAAATATATCTTGGCGTATGTAATATGAGAAAATATACTCACCTGAATGCTAAGAATGGTTAGATTAGTCAAGTTATCCAAGTTTTCCATTGTTGGTATTTTGTTTTTACCACAATAAAGTTCAGTCAATTTTTTCAATCCATCCAAATTTTCTAACTTCCCTATTTTGTTTGAACCAAGTTCCAACAATTCTAGGTCTTGCAAGTTGCTCAGATTCTCTATTTTTGAGATATGATTGTTTACGAAATACAGTTTCCGGAGATTACTTAGATTCTCCAAGTTTTCGATACGTCTTATCCGATTAAAGCTCAAATCAAGATTAGTCAGCTTTGTGAGGCACTCTAAATTTTCAATCTGAAAATAAGATACATAGAAGCGTTACAAGAATCTTCATAGTAAGGCTTATAGTAGCGTTACATGATTGTATTATGGAATATATATTTGACTTGCAACAGTTTAAATCGCGATTAGCCCCCAAATGCCCTGGTATGGCCGAGAGTGGGTGGGCCCGCCCTCCCTCTCGGGATGCACTCACACGGCCACGTGTATACAGCTCCTGCCAGGGAAGTCCTACCCACTGCCTTCTCGTGGTGGGGGTGTTGTTTACGAAATTGGGAGGACGAAAAGCAAATGTCCGGCGCTTTAACCGGATTTTAAACCAATGAAGCACATGGGCTCCAGTATCCTGCGGGAACAAATGGCGTATGAACCAATCGTTGGTCACCGGCTACCATGGGACTGCATCTCCTCACGATGCTCCACTGCCTTGTGGGTCAGACCTATAGGTCAAAGGCTCTGGGTGTGGCCCCCTGAGAAAACCACCTGTTTCGGTTTGGGCACCCAGGCAGTATCACAACCCTCACACAAATCGAATGATTTATGTGGCGCATATCTACTTGGTGCCTCCTTGTACCAATGTTTATGTGTTTAAATAAGTAAATAAAATCGCAATTAAGTCTGAGTTCATTTTATTCGTTTATGATGACAAACTTTGTAAACATAATGGTGAGGGTGAAGGCAATCAAATAATAGTAAGCATGATGGTTATGATAATACTGAGGACACTGGTGGAAAAAGAACGAGTATGTTGAATACATTCGTCATAAACAACGAAACATTTACACCACCCGATAATTAACCCTTAATTTTTATTGTCTTGTAGACCTTGCCAGTCAATAAATTTGTTTTGTTTAACCACTTGAAGTTTGACATGATCAGCCTCGACTTTAACTCACCTCGTATCAATGTGCGCAGCGGCCAAGGATACGTAAAATGCTCCAAGCAACCTATCTGTTAAATGTTTACGAGACCTAGCCGATGAGTGCATTATGCACCTAACTTTACCATACCTGAGTATTTATATAAATGACTCAAGGGATTTAAGGATGCCCAAAGATGAATAACGTAATCTTAACACCGGCAAGTAAAGGTTGAATGAATAATCAAGGGTTTGGAAATAGGTATAATGTATACATGCTTACAATCTACAGTCTTAGAAAAATGTCTCAGACTAATCACACATTGTCGTTTCAGGAAGACGAATGGAACATGAGTTCATCGATTGTAGGGTCAAGTACAGACTTCCCCATTAGGATCAGGAATAATGTGATCTATAGTTGGAGATCCCGACTGGAATGAGTTGAAATTAGTCACAGTAACGTAACTGCTCTCATTATTTAACCTCTAAATCCTGAGTCTAGATAATATTCCAAACTTTTCATTTTTCTCTCCTATTGTCTCTTTCTTCCTTACTATATTTTATATATTTAGTCCCCCACTATCAGTGATGTCATTCCGACTCCCAAGTTTTCATCCCGTTGATTTGCAGTGTGGTGACTTGCGACGATATATATGAGTCAGGTCCTACGTTGTTTAGAGATATAACATGTCTTTCAATCAAACATTTAATCAACATACTCATTACTGGTAGAAGTGCTGGTTGTTCCTAGTAGGCAAGATACTGTTGTTAAAACTTAAGTTGTCAGTATGACAGCTTTTATTTTGAGAAACTACATATTTCGATTCCTAGAAAGCTATTCTAATACAGATTGAAATATATTTGTCTAATATTACTTGGATGGGTAACGACAATGAGTCCCAGTTACAATGTTAATTCAGCTACCTCAATGATAACAAGGTGAAACATGTTACTTTGAGGTCTAACTAGTTCAGTCGTATCAGAACTGCTGACACATTACTTATTTGGTAATGCTAGGCTAACCACTGTCACCGTAAGTTAAGACGTTTGTGTAACCAGCGCGTAAGAAGACCAGTCCCATGGATAAACTAATGGGTACCAATATGTTGCTAACCAACAAGTCGACAGTAATTCTAAAGCAATTATATGCCGTATATGGTAGACCTATCACACTGTTACGATATACACCGGTACAAAAATGGTCATCCACATTTGGTTGAAAAGTTTACCTTAGTGATCTGATTATCATAAACGTCCAGATCTTCAAGGGTTTGAGAGATAGGCTCGAAGTTTTCCAACTTTTTCAGTAAGTTGTTTCGAAGACATAATGAGCGAACATTTGGGAACCGACTTAGTTTACTGATACATTTGATTCGGCAGTGTTCAAGGTATATTTCTTCATCGTTCACGTTAGGCAAATCAACTTCATCTATTTCGAAAGTATCTGACTGATGTTGCTCCCCGGTCCCGTCTTCAAGCTGAGGTTTACTTTGGTCATCCATCAGAAAATCACCAAGTATGATATACTGAATTGCTATGACCTGGAAGAACTTGCAACATTAAGTGATCAATGTGAAGAAAACAACTGATCAATAACAGCCCGTTAAAAAGACATAACATTGGTGCAAAGGTACAGAATTACCGCTTTTCCACTCAGCGACCTTGAGCCGCCCCAAAGCGGTCATTTCACGTTTGAAGTATCCTTAGTCGCTGAGACGTTTGCGAGCCAGTTTAACTTGGTAGTATGTTTACGATTAGAAGACCTGTATCTATCGGAAAACGCCGAATAACGCATATTCATGTGTTTTTCAAATACCTTACAGATAAAGAAAACCTCTGGAATGAACTTATAACTGTTGAAATATAGCTAGTAGTAGATAAATTTGTATATTACATCTCTCTGTAACTGTCATAATTTCTGTCCATTTACTCGGTGCTAATGTAGCGTCAAATACTCATGAGGGTATTTCGGCCGACCTAACTGGTACTTCTCGTCAGGCAATCCTTTATCAAATATTCTTGATATGAGGTGAATTTGAAAATTCTTCGAAAGTTCTCCAGAGTGTAGAAGAAGCATAATTCTAATAGTTGAAGATGACATATACTCATTACGTCCATGTACAAAGTAAGAACCTTATTTTCCTGTGATCTATCCTGGTAACAAGCGGTGCAGCTGCCGGTAATAGGAAAGCATACTTGTACATGTAATTAATGTTACCACTAAAATGTGTTTATCTTATTTATTCAGATACTGAAACGACTATCAGGGAAGCTGAAGTAAATGGACACATTTCACCGTGACATACAATCGAATGTACTTTTGGATAACCATTGTTCGATAATACCTAATTACTCTTTATATTCTCAACAAAATTGGAAGGGGGACCGGTGTTGCTAAAAGGTATAGATGCCTATGAGAAGTGTATAATAAAAGTACCCGAAGAAATTAGTCATTCAAGTTACTCAAAGTTAACAATGTGTGGATAACTTATTCCCCTTGGGATATTCATATTGTACATCTGCTTCTTAATATATAACGCTCGTCTGTTAACCACTTAGATTGTTGCCGTCTAGGATTATTCAATAACGGTTTATTAACTCCTACATTAGACGAGGAAATACATAAACTTATCTAAAGAGACAATGTCTCTCAAAGTGACACAGTAGTCTATTTAGCACAATAAACGGCGTTCACATTAAGGCCTCAAACTTCACATGGACAGAATCAGAGAAATGCCCATTCCTTGTGATTTCCATCTAAGAGGTATTAGGTGAGGATGAATTGTGGAATAACACTAAAAGTTATCTTCCTTAGTTTCTAGGAATCTAAAATGAAGAAGAAACCGCTAAAGATGAAACGGATGTGGGAGTGTAACAACTCTTTTACACGTGAAACCTTTATAATCGAGGTATAGTAGCCTAGTCAAATCAGAAATCGGAAGTAAAAAAGTTCAAAGATATGTTCGGAAAGTTATATATATTGAGTATCGCTTAATCTAAGCTAACTAGTAGTTCCGACAGATGCATAGCGCAGCGTTCCCGTTTGTGATCTGGTGAGGATGCGTGACCTGTAGTCTTGAGTTAAGTGTAGCTGGTAAAACTGATGCAGTCTGCATCAATGTTGAAGACTAAAAGAAATGTTTATTTGGTGAATTTATTTACCTTAGATTTCTGGCAGCTTACAGGGGAACATAGCCACGCCCTCACGTCTTTATTCATACTGAGCCAACAAAATTGTTGTTCTGTGATTGTTGCTCGAACACCTGGATGAGCAAGTCTGGGCAACGTATTGAAGACGTTGTGTCTATAATGTTTTGGTAAGATTAAATTATCCCTACCTGTAGATGTGTGATATAGTAAAGTTTCTTTACTTGATCCGTAGTTTCAGGGTTACCGAAGATAACTCTTTCTGGAGATCAGTTATTTATTTCGAATATGAACGAGTTTGAAAAGATTAATTTCTTGAAGACGGTTCGACGAAGTTTTACGAGGCAAGGAGTCTGCAACTACATCGTCTTTCCCAGAAATATACTGTGGATCTGAAGTAAACTGTGAAGCGTAGCCCACTTGTCAAGAATCTAGGGGAGAATACTTTTCTGAAGACAAGGTCGAAGAAAAGATGAGGGCTTTGTGGTCAGTGAAAAGAATAGATTCCCTATATTCCACAGAATGTTGAAAGTGTAGCTAAGCAATATACATGGCTAGGAGTTCCCTGTTGAAATTGCCATACCTAAATTCAATGTTTTAAAAACGTCTCAAGAACAGTGCCAAAGGTTATCACGTGTTGTATACTCACTGTCGTCAACCAAATTGATGAGTTACGCATTTTGAAAGAGCTGGCCTATTAAGGGTCTCATAAGAGATGAGCAATCCGGTATGAACCGTTGGTTGCATGAATACTGTGAGCGTCAATAGAGTGCCCGAGAAAGTGAACAAAGTCCGTTTCGACTTGATGTTTCTGAATGCTTGCAGTAATATCCTGTTTTGCTGTCGTTCGAAAACAAGGTCTAGATGTTGGAGGGGAAACTCCCTGTCCGAACTAGCAGTCAAGCATTCATTTACACACGCGCGCATAAAATTGAGGGCTGTTAGCCCTTCATTGGTGAACCTCCGAAAAGTATGTGCAGCATTTCTTAAACCGGAAGGCATGCGCAAAATTTGTAGAGTCCGAACGGAGTGATGAGAGCCATGTTAAGAATGTCGTTTGTAGCCATACGAATTTGGTTACATGTATTTAACCATTTCGATTTTTAATAAAACAGTTGTACCATTTAAGGTAATCGTCAAGTCGTGGATGCATGGCAAGGATTAACGACGCGGAGTGATTTTCTTATTCTGTTGGCGGAATACAGATAGGATTAATGCATGTTCCGTGCAGAATTATGTTCAGGCGTGGTGATTGGCTATTTCTTAGTTATTCAGCGCTAGTGGATACTTGGAGAGGACTCTAGAATCTTCTCATGTAAAAATTATAAACAAATCAACATTTTTCTTGTTGGAATTCTTACTTCCATCTACCCTTGTTATTTGAAATAAAATTCCTGTTTAACTGTGTTCTGACTTGGGAACTTGTCAAATTAAGTAGTGTACAAGAATAGAGTGCAATAGGAGTAGCTGGGTCGTAATAAGGGAAGTTGGAACACATCCAGTCGTCGACAATTACCATTTGAACCCGTAACAGCACACTGTCCTATTTGGAGACCGTGTGTATGTGAGATGTGTGGCCTACATGTGTCATCGTTAACGCATTCCAACGAGCGAATATTCCGCGAGGGTTTTTCGTGTCAGACGGTACAGAGACAGGAAAACTGCATAGTCCCCAACAATCTCTAGAAGACTTGAAACGGGTGTTATCGTACCAACATCAATCAGGGTTATCTGTCTCCCGTGATCGAGAAACACATCTTCCTCGTGACGCGATTCTCCTTGGAATCCGGAAGCGTTTGTGGTCATGATGAATATGAAGATGACGAGCAGGAGAATTCCAAAGACCTCTAATGTCATTTTATGTCGTTTGAGGCTTTTCCTTGACAGAACAAACCTTGATGTTGAAAGTCCTAGCGATCTCCAGTCAGCGGATGAAGCCAGCTTGTCTACAGAGTTATTCGGAACGTTGTAGGAACCACTTGCACCTGTTGGGTGAGATTTTAGAAGCAAAGCTGTCTAAATATGCCCTCATCAAATGTCTGTTGAGTAATGACCTCTCGCATATGTAGCATAATTTCTGTTGCTGGGCCGTGTTGTCACTCGATGTTGTGGAAGAGTTGGTCTAAAATTTGCCGGTCAGTTAGTTGTACATGTATAGGGATCGCCTTCCTTATAGTTTTGTTAGGTTCAGAATTATCACCAGTAAACATAATAGGTGTGACGTACCTGCTAAAACCACGTGGTAGTACCTTCACTACTGTGACGAATAGAGCAAGTGAGTCTATCTCGCCGTGCTCTTGTGAGTCAGATCCTATGTAGCTGAACCAGACTTCGATATTATCGAGCAAGAATGACATGAGTTGAAGGGTGTGAGGCGAAAAAGTATCAATGTTAAACAGCTCCTGTGTCTGTTCAGTCATAATGAGGATAAAATATTTAACTGGGTAAAAAATGTCCCACAATACAGAAGTAATATTCCGATATGCAATAAAATGAAAATCAAAAAATGATATATAATGTTGCAACTAGGAGTAGACTCGTAGACTATTATCACTGTATGGTCGTAGATGAACACTGCCGCATACCCCCGTGCGAGGACAAAACGGCTGTCCAATGTTTTCAGGTTTCCAATGCTAGTCTAGCATTGACCGGTTAATGATTCCAATTGAGACTTGTAGTTTGTTTGTTTGACGTACCAGATCATATCGGGCTCACCACAAAGAAGCAGCAGATTACACGTAACACTTTTATGATCAAGGGATACTAACGTAGTTAAATCAGGATTCGACAATGAAGGAGTTTAAAAATAGACTTCGAAGTTGACGATAAGTTGACTTGAGTTTGATATAAACTGGAAAGTAATTGCAAGAGATGTGTAGCTCGACGTGTCCACTGGTGCTGATATGTGACCGAGCGCCTTCAGCCTAATGTGAAGTCAGTTTCAATGTTCAGTAATTACAGATTTATTTAAAAACATGAAAAGTTAGGAATCGAAGGACATGTTGCGCCCCAATTCAGTCAGTAGATGGGTTACCAAAATTTTTAACAATAATACATGCTTCTAACTAGCCGAAACTTGATTTCTTCACCCTTAAGGGTGATTAATTTAACTAATCAAATAATAACAATCTGGCGTACAGTAATTTCACCAAGTAAAATAGTTAATGCATCGCTAAAATCACCTCCATTATTTTTAGAAATGGCGTGTTGTGCTTTCATGCATATCTAGTAGTTTATCTGTATTTTTGTTCTCTACCATCTGGGTTGAATCCGTAGGTTGCATCGAAATCGTTCATTTTTCAGGCTGTTTTATTTGCAACTAAGTTGTAAGTTGCTTCTAGTTCTTTCGAATTTGTAACCTGTTACATTCAGTTGATGCATTAAAATTGTAATCAAATGCCTTATGATCGATCGTCACGCTCACCTATTAATGATGAATTCGTAATCACGAACGAAATATAAATCATTCGTGCATATTTTCTC